TCAGGCAATCCACTCACCTCAGCCTTCCAAAGTGCTGGGATTACAGGCTGAGCCACCGAGTCCGGCATAGATCAGAATCTTTTAAGGACTAACACCATTTAACACAGTGATTTCTGCATCGTGTTGATTTCATCAGCGTCAAACTCCAGTCTATCTCACTGATTTAACCAGTCTCAGCATAATCACTATCGACCCAGACTCTCTGACCCGGCAGTCAACATGGAGGAAAAAGATGCCAGTTCATGTGTTTTTTTCTGCCAGCTCCTTGCACTCTCCATTGGTCTAAAACACATTTTAGTTGATTTTTTTCTCTTATTCTTGTATGTGGTTTCTACACCAAATTTTCCTCCTTCTTCCTTACCTGTTTTCATTCCTATCTTCATACAATAAAAAAAAGAAATGGAAAGAGGCAAAGAGAAAAACACACGCATATTTCATTAAAATTATCTTTAATTTAAAAAAAAATTTTTGAGTTAGAGTCTCACTTTGTTGCCCAGGTTGGAGTGCAGTGGCATGCTCATGGCCACTGCAACCTTGACCTGCTGGGCTCAGCACATCCTTCTGCCTCAGCCTTCCAAGTAACTGAAACTATAGGCATGCACCATCATGCCCAGCTAATTTTTTGATTTACTGTAGAGACGAGGTCTCACCAAGTTGCCCAGGCTGGTCTTGAATCCCTGGGCTCAGGCAATCCTCTTGCCTCGGCCTCCCAAAGTGCTGGGATTATAAACTTGAGTCACTGCGCCTGGCAAAAATTATCTTTAAAACAGGGTATCTCACTATTTTGCTCAGGTTGGACACTTCATAAAAATTATTTTAACTTTTGCCTAATTTTTCCATATCTTTTCACTTATCTCCAAATTAGAAGACAGTTCATGAAGAATGAATCCATGAGTTGTGTGCAGTGGCTCACATCTATAATCCCAGCACTTTAGGAGAAGCAGGAGGATAGCCTAAGGCCAGGAGTCGAGGCCAGCCTGGGTAACATAGCAAGACCACACAGCAAGAATCAATTAATACAATGGACTACCTAACAATGTTTGATTTTGGAAAAAATGATCTACCACCCTTTCCCAGCTCTATGAGTAAACAAGAAATGGAAACTTGCTCAAATTTAAACAGTGGCTAAATCTGTTTCACACTTTTATTTTCATCCTTTTGCTTATCTGTATTTTCTGATCTTTCTATTATTTTTTTCGTTAATCTTTCCACAATAAACCCATACTACAAGTGTAATTGTTTTTTAATTTTGAAAGGAAAGACTACCTCCTTTAAGAGGGAGTAAAACAGGGTGATGCTGGGGTATGCATGTGGATTCCAGTGGTCCCAAAGCTGGGGTTTCTCAGTTTCTCATTTTTTCCCTTCTGACTCTGAAAGCACCACTATGGAGCCTTTCTAGAAACCGCTATTAGAAGAGAATGAACATACTCTCTTAGATTAAATGTCCAAGATTTGGGAACCATGTTCTCTCCCCAACCAGAAACATTCCTTCTTGAGTAAGTAGGATGGGTTGTCAAGAGCACTGGCATCCTGGAGAAGCTGGTAGAACTGTGATCCTAGAAGTTGTGCTCTCTGATTTCAGAATGGATGTAAGTAAGTCATGGACTGTGTTTACATAAAAGCCCAATTGTACTAGGTTGGAAGAACCAGCCATATAAAATTTCTCTCCAAAACTGGTTAGCCTAGCTTTCTAAAGGCATTAAAGGTTTTAAGTTGGTTCTGAATTCCAAGTGCTTCCCATTCAAAGCCCTTCTAAAGTGCAAAGGCTATCCTTGAGGGGGAAATAGCCCTTTCAAAAACTCAGTCTTAAAGAGTGGGTATTGGGCAGGTGCTCTGGCTCATGTCTGTAATCCCAGCACTTTGGGAGGCCAAGGCGGGAGAATTGCTTGAACACAGGAGTTCGAGATTAGTCTGGGCAACATGGCGAGACTTTATCTTTACAAAAAAAATTTAAAAGTTAGCAAGGTAAATGGCAGGTGCCTGGAGTCTCAGCTAATCAAGAGGCTGAGACGGAATGATCACTTGAGTCCAGGAGGTTGAGGGTGTGAAGAGTCATTATCAGGCCACTGCATTCCAGGGTGGGTATCAAATAGAGAAAAAAAAAAGAGTAGGTATTGCAGAGAACCTCTGACTCACCAGCGGAATAAGAACAAAAAGCAGTGCTTGCCAGTCGCCATTACCTTACTAGACTCTGGTGTGGCCATGAGCTCTTTGAGCTATGGCCATTGCCATGTTTCCTGGCTTAGGCCCCCTTCCCTACACTGGGGAGGTGAATCTCCTCTTTTTCTCTCTCTTCCTCTAATTTACTTTCTAAATAAACTACATTTTCCAATCTTAGGACAAACAAACAAAAAAAACAAAAACCAGTGCTTATTATTTTTATTATTTTTATTTTTTGAGTTGGAGTCTCACTCTGTGGCCCAGGCTAGAGTGCAGTGGCATGCTCACGGCCACCGCAGTCTCAACTTACTGGCCTCAGGTGATCCTTTTGCCTCAGCCTTTCAAGTAGCTGGAACTACAGGCATGTGCCACCACGTCCAACTATTTTTTGATTCATTGTAGAGATGAGGTCTCACCAAGTTGCCCAGGCTGGTCTCGAACCCATGGGCTCAGGCAATCCTCCCACTTTGGCCTCCCAAAGTGCTGGGATTATAGGTGTGAACCACCATATCCAGCAAAGCAGTGCTTACTTATTGAAGAAAAAAAAAAACCCTTGGCATAATTGAAGATACATATTTCAACACTTTAAAATGACAAGAAAACATGTTCAAAGCACGCTCAGCTTCAGAAAGTCTCTATCAATAAAGTATTTAAAATATAAACGCTGGCCGGGCTCAGTGGCTCAGCCTGTCATCCCAGCACTTTGGGAGGCCGAGGTGAGTGAATTGCCTAAGCCCGCGGGTTTGAGACCCCCGCCTGGGCAACTTGGCGAGACCTCATCTCTACAATAAATCAAAAATTAGCCGGGCGTGGTAGCGCGTGCCTGTAGTTCCAGCTACTTGGAAGGCTGAGGTGGAAGGATCGCCGGAGCCCAGCAGGTCGAGGCTGCGGTGGCCGGAAGCGGCCACTGCACTCCACCCCGGGTGACAGAGTGAGACTCCAACTCAAAAAAAAATAAAAAAAAAATAAATGCTATAAGATATATATACCTATTTATGAAATATGATTGTTTCAAAGCATATGGTAGAATATTTAGAAAAAAATTTTGTTTTGTATTTGTTATGTACCAACATGTATTTATTTTGAAATTAAAAAGAAAAATTCATTAAAATAAACTCTGGCTGGGTGTGGTGGCTCATGCCTATAATCCCAGCACTTTGGGAGGTCAAGGCGAGAGGACTGCCTGAGCCCAGGGGTTCATGACCAACCTCGGCAACTTGGCAAGACCTTGTCTCTACAATAATTTTTAAAAATCAGCCAGGTGTGGTGGTCCACACTTGGAGTCCCAGCTACTTAGAAGGCCTGAGCCCAGCAGGTAGGGGCTGCAGTAGCCATGGGTGTGACACTGCACTTTGTCCTGGGTGACAGAGACTCCAACTCAAAAAATAAACCAAAACAAACTCTATTTTGAAAAATATAATCACCACTTCATGCAGATTATGCAGCAGTCTACAAGATGGTTCCAATGACGCCTCCTAAATTCATGCTCCATGTATTCCCATGCCACACTGAATAAGGTTGACTTGTTAGCATAGGATATTGCAAACGTAGTTAGATCATAAAGACAGAGAGACTTCTGTTTTGCTCTTGGATCACTCTCTCTGGGAGAAGTCAACTGCCATATCCTGAAGATATTTAGCAGAACTATGGAGAAGTCCATGAGAAGAGAAACCATAGCCCCCAGACAACAACCACCATTAATTTGTCAGTCTTGTATATAAGCCAGCCTGAAATGGGAGCCTTCAGCCCCAATCAAGCCTTCAGATGAAACTCCATGCAACCCTGGGCAAGTCTCCAAGTCAGAATCACTCAGTTAAGCTGCTCCCAAATATCTGACCCACAAAAACTATTCAAGAAAATAAACATTAGTTCAGGCACAGTGGCTCAAGCCTGGAATCCCAGTAATTTGGGAGGCCGAGGCAAGAGGATTGCCTGATTCCTGGGATTCGAGACTAGCCTGGGCAACTTGGCCAAACCTCATCTCTACAATAAGTCAAAAAATTAGCTGGGCATAGTAGCACGTGCCTGTAGTTCCAGTTACTA